AGCATATTGACACCTATATTTAAATTAAATTTCGTTTATCTAACGAAGAGAGATAATAGAATGTAATGTAAACTATGTTGGAGTATCATGTGGATATTTTTTGATATTTTTAGATTAAATAATTGATTTCTCAACATCTCGTTCTGTTTAGCAATTAATTAACACGATACTTGTATATAATTTATATAAGCAATGTTGTATGTTGTTGAATTTTTTACTAAGCCGGATGTATATAATGATAATTATAACGAAGATAAGAACATTAAAAGAGAATATTGAGTGCCATTAACACTTTGCGATAAATAACTTAGATACTCGTTGGATGATCCATTAACGTGTTATAATAAATAAATAATTGTAATAAATGTAAAATATTTAATAAAAACACATTCAACCTAAAGGTGCACATAAAATTTCGAGTATACATTAAACAAGTAATATGCAGTTAATTTATTTGATTGTAAATTTTTCTAAATTTATAAACTACACAGTGATATAATAACCACAATAGTTTTGATGTTACCAATTAAATTTATAATAGATTTATAATATTCATAAAACTATATATCAAAAGTAGATTACATTTACATTCACGTGTTTTTTAACTTTTAATGTTAGCATTATTATCAATTTAAATTCCAAAAAGAATTATTTAGCATCCATTGTACAATTACGATCAATGATTTTGAGTGACGTTGTTGTGACTCATACGCCTTTTATCGGACAATCTGGAAACGGATTTCTCTTTATTAAATTGCTATGCAAAGCCTGTCATTTCGCCGACGAGCGCTGCAAAAATGTGTTTGCACGGTTCAGTAACAACCATGTGCATTGCTCAAACGAGACGTGTGCACAAAACGGCCTTGCCACTTGGATTTTCCAACGGCAAAACCAGTTACCGCAGCGTGGCGATGCTAATGAATTTGATAGTCACCCGACAAACAAACACAGAACAAAGCCTTTAACTTGTCGGTAATATTTCGTAGTAAAATTATTATAATACAATAACGCGGAATTTCCGTATTAATTTTGTGGATTTGGTAGCTCTGCGAATTTCGATTGTATATTTTGTTTGTATTCTAAATTTTCATAACGCTGATACAGACTATCGTGCTCAATTTTGAGACTTTACTGAATTCATTTATTTATAACTATACGTGTATTACTATTCATTTGGTCAATCTTCACGATACGAAACTAATTCGACGTAGACGTAGCTCTTGTACAGTATCATAATCCTTTATATAATCTAGGGAGATTATTAGGATCGATTAATTGCCGAATTGTAATCGATTAATTATTTCTGGTCTTCGACTAATTCATAATTTAATTTAGCAAAGTCATGACACACAAAAACGTATCTCGATAAACGTAACTGATTTTGATTCACTAATCTATTGTGTAGATAAATATTGATTCTCAATTATTATAACAGAATTACCCTCTACTCTAAGTATTTCAAAGAAAATATCGATTCTATTAAAAGATCATTTCTATAGTTTAGTTTTCTTTTTATAATTTTATATGATGCAGTTGCTTATAATTCTATCAATTATACGGACAAATAACAATTGAATTGTCTGTTTAAAATAAAGCATGCAATATTTATTCAATAGAAAAAGGAATTTACTCAAATTATACCATAGCAATGGCAAACTATATTTAGCTTATCAAAACTGAAAATAGTTTATAGTCGTGTGTGAAGACGTAAATAAACATTTATCTGCAATTCGTAAACATAGTTCTATTTGCCATAGTTTCCTTGAAAGTTGCTAATCGACAGCGGTTAAATGAGAACGTCGAAGTAATTTACACGTGAATTAAAGTAAACATATTGAAACCACTTTGATGATGACTTGCAGAAATTGCAGATATCGATTGGCTAAAAAATATCCGTTGTTACACGCATAATAGAGTATATAAATGTCTCGCGTAATCGAGTTCAGATTTCAAATTGTAAATTAAGGAATCTGCAAACAAAACTTTAGATAATAAGGAGTTACCTTATTCCCCCCGTATGACATCCAGGCATGTATCTAAAATATTTTTATTTGAAAAATAGTATTTGTAAGATAATTGTATTTTGCATTTCAGCGGAACATAAAAATACGTATTTTGTATTTCAAATACTAAGATTGACAATCAATTTTGTTATTTGAATTATAAAAAACTTTCAATCTTTCGATTTTAAAATTTTGGTCTAGGAACGTTACTTCTCACGCTATACAAGAAAAATACAAATTTAATCAGAAATCTCTTTCAAAATATTAATATTAAAATTATTTTAAAATTAAAATAATATAAGTTTAATATAAATGCAATACTAATGCAATATTATATAAGAAACATTTATACTATAATATAGCGTGTAAATATCAATATTTTTTGTAAAATGCACAGAAGTTTGGAAAAACGAAGTGTTTCACATGCGTCACTATATAATCGCTTAACCTAACGATTATGACGCTTTGCCTAATCGGTTCTTAGAAACGATGTGTTTATTAGCACAAACCCTTAATAAACACCATTGCTTTCAAATTTGCCAAGCAATGCCAATTTAATTTCACCAGTTATCACCAGTTACTCCTCTCTCATTAGAGCATTAACTTTATTATTAAAAAATATCTCTCATAAATCTGTTAATAAAATCTACAATTATCGAAACTCGGAATCTTCAATATAAAGATTGAATTCATCATGTGGAAACACTAAATATAGAAATGTGGCCTCGGTATATCATTTAAATTCCGAATCACATGAAAGAAAGTGCATTCCAAAGCGGATGCACGGAATTCTTGCCGCAACCAAATTGACCGAAGTCTGACCCAAAATTTAAACGTTTCAGCAATTATCTGGTTAAATTACTGCCAAAAAAATTTAACTACTGATTAATTATTTTTTATGTCGTAACTATAATGTATTAGAAAAGAAAGAATGAAAATTTAAGAACGAGTTAAATAAAATATTAATATGAACACTTAAATTCTTTTTCTTTTATTTTTATCCATTTTTTTTACATATACGTGCTCTATTTCAGTACCAAACCGCAGAACGACGTTGACTGTTGTAAATTGCAAGTCTACTATATATAGAAAAAAAAAGTAAAGAAGAGAACAGCGAAACGGACGAGAATAAAAATTGTTTTCAAGGTTAAAGATTCAAGATCGAACTCCGACGTGCTAACGTTAAAATTCTTTTTGCGTCATAATATTACATTACATTTGGCCAGCAGCTTTTCTAAGAGGTAGGTTTTAACAATCGACACTAATATTGTTTTATTATGCTATTTGTCTGTCCACATTATTATTAATATTGTAAATTTATTTTAGAATAAATTAATGTGTACACGAAGAATAAATGAAAGAAATAAATTGGTCCTAATCTAAATACATTAATATGGATCGAAACTCAGCCTGAAGCTAACATGGAATCTAATCATAATTTAATTCTCATGTAATATAATCAGACACGTGCATAGAATCGAAAAGTCACGTTTAGCACTAAATACACGGTATGAATAAAAAATATGATATATGCAAAAAACAGCGAGAAGGAAGAGGAAGCACGATAAAGCTGGATATCTTCTAATTATGAAACGTGTTGAAATATGTATGATAAAATATAGAAGGCTAATACGGTTTTCTCGCAGTATTCTGTCTCAGGTATGACGAATCATACGTATGATAATATGCTATTTTACGCACGAACAATAATTTATTCGTAACATTACACATTTGCTTGTTACGCTTTTTTTCAATAACAAGTAATGAAGCGAAGATATTTAGAACTGTACGGAGCAATTTATCTCCCATTGTTGAAACTCGATAAATAATGCGGGTGTCACATCCGGTGGATATATCATAAATGATTTACATCAAACGAAAACTTTATCATATTCCGCTATCGTTTTTACATTGCTCTGTAGTAACAAACACAAATTATCATTGTAGATCATTGTAGTACATCATTATAGAATATGTATATAATAATTTATATATATAATATTTATATGTATTGTATGTATAATATGTATATAATATATAAATGTTATATATAAATTATATATATACAGGATGTTTTCAAATTCGCACCTGCGAAGTACAAAACGTGATACTTTATCTGCTAAGAAACAAATACTTTTTCCTTTAACAAAATTGCGTCCGATAAATAATTTTTGCGCTTATTTGTTGATTTCAACCTGCCCTCCTGAAAAAACTACTTATTTTTTTAACGCAATTTTACTACAGAAAAAAGTTGTTTTTTATGCTAAAACGGACAACTTTTTCCTGTAATAAAATTACATTCGATAAATAATTTTTACGTTTACCTCGTACAACTTCAACCTGCTTTCCTGCAAAAATTACTTGTCAAGCGCAATTTTGCAAAAGGAAAAAATTATTTCTTTCAGCGTAAAGTATGACGTTTTGTATTTCGCGGGCGCGAATTTGAAAACACCCTGTATATTTTTATACATACATATGTGTATATAATTTTCATTCAATCGGGATTCAAACTGTCATTCATCTCCCTCGTGATACACGAGGAAGAACATTCATCGCGGGTTAGAAACAAAGAAAATTTCTTGCGGCAGGAAAATTCTGTGAAGCTTAAAGGAGTGATAATCATATCGACAATGGTTTGCGGTTGAGTTAATTCATCAGCGTCAGCCAATTCAACATGTTCATAGTAATATGTATATTTATATATACTTGAATTCTGATGTAGCATTATCCACAATTATACATTTACGATCAATTATATAATATTTGCATATATGCACGCACATACACATTATTATCGTTTATCACAGACACAATACAAATAGTTTTTTTGTAGAGAAAATGTAAGAGATAATCCTAAATGCCTTTCTTCAGGCTTCAAGAATGAATGGTCCCGAGTTCTCGAGAAGTCCTTCAGAGTGGTTCCGCATTCGGAGTTCTACGTTATTGAAGAAAATGCGCACAAGCGAAGATTCGCAGATTTACGGTGATCGTACTTACCTTGTCACCAAAAAAGGTTGAGCGTTCTGGCAAATTGACGTTTCTTGCAGGCGTGATCATGGATTCACTTGATAAAGATCTACTACTGCTGCTATCGCTACTTCTCTCTTTGACGATCACGTATTTCAATCCATGAAACTCACGACGCACTTCACTCGCTCGTTGATCGCCAACGACTGACTATAGTGACTGTCTGACTAACTCGAGCAGTTGAGAAGTGAGACAAACCACCGTATAATGCGAGAGGCGACTCCATGCCAGCAGCGTGACCGACCGGGAAGGTGCACTCGCCTTGATTTTTTAATAAACTTGTCAAATGATAGGTCTGTTTTTTATTTTTGCACTAGACTGCACTAAAACTCTTTCGCTTTCGCCAAATATTATATAAACATATACTTATCTTATCTCATTTTAAATTCTAAAAGTGTACACTGTATAGTTCAGTCACAAAAAACTGACCCAATGATTAACAATCCGTATTAGCGAAGTTACGCTGTTTTGGATAGAATTATTAATTTTTTATTGTTTTTGACAAAATCGTTAAAAGAAAATTAGATTACGACAACTAATAATATATAAGAATTATCTTAATTATCGTTTCGTCTAGTAAGCAAGAGGAGATATGAGGTGGACCCCGCATTGCGTGGGGAAAATATATTTTGAATATTATTCAGTGTCGGGGTTGTTTTTCCCTCCATCTATATATGTATATAATATTTATGTGTATAAGCATCAAATTAAATAAAACTTATAACATATAAATTTTATTTAATTTAATTTGTTTTTTTTTTTAGTTATTTTTTGAACATATAATATTTTAGTTACTTTTTGAACATATGTACTAGTTAGTGGCCCAATTATTGAACGAAGTGACAAAAATTTATGTACAACTTTAAAAAAATACATCTTATTAAATTTTTATAAACAACGAATTTAATTTAGAGTCGTAAATATCTCTCTCACTAAAAGTTTAATATTTAAAATAACACTGGTAAATTTACTTTATTCTGAATTCTTGTCCAGGAAGAACTTTTTGGTTGAAGATATTTAAACAAATTTATCCTACTGAGGGGACAATGGGTACACCACTGATTCGAACATTCGAACACTAGACCTGTTCTTTTTGGCTAAACTTCTGCACCAGTTCATCTTTCTTCTTCTTCTTTCCTCCTGAAGAGAAAAGGAAGAAAGTCGAACTGGTGTAAAAGTTCAGTTAAAAAGAACAGGCCTGTTGTCAATACACTACACGACGAACATGCGCGAGACGACGCAACGCGAGCAAAATGATGCGGGAAAATATGGATTCGGAAGCCTTTTACCAAAAGTACATGTTGTCAGAAGAAATCATGGCGAAACTCGAATCTATCAGGGAGGCGTTGAAAGATAACATCGCTCAGGCTAATCCGATGTGGAAACTCATAGCGGAACAGGAACAGGTTAGAATTGTATCAGTTCATACACATTATGAACTATAATCTCAATGAAGTTTATTTAATTTTTAAACTAATATGTATTCTTTTCCGTATCTGTACAAAGATGAAATAATTATGAAAATAAAAAAAATCATTAATATTAGATCATCCCAAATTCTATACAAATACTCCAAATTCTTATACATATAATTTAACATAAACATGTACTGTTCGATTTAGAATGAAGAAGAAATATGTTCAGAGACTGAAGATAGCGATGATAAGGATGAACCGATGGATAATAACGAATCTCAAACGAACTGTAATCAATCAGTACCACCACCGTCTACTCAATTTTACTTTACACAAACTGAGAGAACTATAGAACCGAAGAGATCTGTTGCTACAGTGCCACAAAGGTGTGATATTTTAGAATGTGCTTGTGAGAATTTGGAACGAAATAACGGCAAACTAGACTTCGTCCAGTTAGACAACTTATCCGATGAAGATCTTGTCCCATTGGTGGACGAGATGGCAAGAAAATTAAGTCCTAAGGGTATCTATAATCTATGTCTGTCGATGAATGATATGACTGTTGAACAGAGAATAAAATATCTCAATATATTTTGCACACATCTGTTGCTACCAAAGGTATCAATGGCACATTACTGATATCTACTATATTTTTTCCTCAGATATTAATTTTTGTTTTACATTGTATTCATAGATAGTCGAACTGGAGGAGCCATCTCGTTTATTATCATCTGCTATCGTTGAATGCATTAAAATATTTCCCGATGAGGTTCAGCAACTTATATTTGTTCCTATTCTCAACATTGAGTTGAAAGATATAACATTGGTCACCACCATTGTGAATGCGTTTGATCAACAAAGGAAAACAATTCTTTTAGGGTACATTTCTCACAGTCATATAATATATATGATTTTAAAGTATAATATTTATTTCAAAATTGAAAATTAAAAATGGGAAAATAAATTGATAATTTTTTTATATTTTTGCAGAGAATTTCTTGCATGTGTGAAGGAATTAAAATTATGGCATATATTTGTGTTGCAAAGTTTGTTATCTGTAAGACTAGATCACAACATGATTGATAAAATTATCAAATTATTCTTGGAAAAAGCACTTTGTTATTCCAAAGATAAAAACTTCGGAAAGCTTATATTGTCATTTTCAAAAATTAATACAGCACTAACTGTAGAACAGAAAAATGTAATCGCTGAAATCGCTGCTGTTAATGAAACATTGTTCAAAAAGCCTATAGAAAATATTTTAAGGAACATGTAATCGCTAAATCACATGTGTAAAAACGCATCTATAATTGTCTATCTAGTTTTCCCCGATTAACGTATTTTTATGAATGTGTATCTTTAGAGATTAAAATATATATTTTTCTAAATTAGGACGTGGATTTTTTATAGTGAATTTCAAATATAATTTCATAGATATATTTGATATACAAACATAAAACATTTCCAACTATTAATTACAATTCCTTGTCATTTCTTGTTTAGCTACTATCTAAATTTACTCTTTTTTTTTTATCTAATATTTATGCTGTTATGGGAGTGAAGAAGATCGCCATGTTTCCCTTAAATTTTTCAATAAAACTGGTACTTTATTTTTACATCAAAGATTCAGTGTTTATTATTATTTAGTAAGGCATACACTAGTATTTATTATGTTAAAATTTGTTCTTAATTAAAAGTTGGATGCAGATATTAATAACTATTAATTTAATTAAAAGCGATGCGCGCGAGATACGACGGATACGACTCCGTACGCGGATCAGCTGATAGAAGATTTTTCTATTCGAAAGTACGAATGACAGTTGACATTATTGTTCCGGAGCGTTATACTATTCTTACATAAGGATTAGTGCCCGTCAACAATTGTTCGTAAACCTGCAGAAGGCAGGCTGCCTCGATTATCGTGCGAGAATGACACAGGAGTTGTCTGGTGTGACCATAGTGATATTTATAGCAGCAGGTGTTTTGACAATATTGTTACTATTCATCTTCGCGAAACGACAGATCATGAGGTTCGCTTTGAGATCTCGTCGGGGTCCTCACATTCCCATAGGACACGACGCGAAGAAGGTATGTTTTACGATCCAATGTAATTTTGAGGTTAACTTACTGTTATATGATTGCTTAACTCATGATAAGTACATAATTTTTTGTGATGCCAAAGGAATATGTAAGTCCTTGGAAACTAGTTTTTTGTTATTACTATTTTAGAAGTTTTAAATTTTTCAATTATATAAAAAAGTTATAGAACGATAATTAATTTACATAAATAGAACAAAATTGTGAAAAATAAAACTGTGAAACATAAAATTATTCTAAGTCAGTATACTATTTAAAAATTAGGAAAATGTCTCTAGTATGTCACCAAGACTCATATGCTCCAGTTAAATATATACTGAAAATGTTTCAGTCCTTGAAAAAGGAAATAGAAAGGAGAATAGAAGTGATACCTAGGATCCAATACGAGCCACAGCTGATTAGCGACCCTAGATATATTTTGACTTCAGGTGGACAAGCCCCACCGCATTATTACAGATTAAAAGCTGTTGACGATGTTAAAACTTTAGGTAAGTCACTATTCCGTTATTAAATTAGTTTTTTAATATTGCATTAGACTGCACTAAAACTTTCCTTCTCGCTTTTGCCAAATATTAAATACATGTCTATTTTACTTTATAAGTACAAAGAGTGCATATCAGTTTAGTTATAAAAAGATCTCAAGCTTTGTTTCATATGATATCTTTGCCTTGATATCTAAGCCTTGTTTCATTTACAGAGGCAGAGATCACAAGATACGACAATTGTCTGAAGAGACATCCTTCGGAAAATCTGAGGGCATACTTGCTCACCACACTCGCTACTCCATTAAATGGAAGCGGCCAGCGTTTAATTCACCAGTTCTGTGATTTGTACGAACATGCAAGACACGACCCTACAGAATTTGGTGACGATGAGTATCAAGTGTACACTCGCTTGTTTTTGAAATTAATGGATGCGTAAGTGTGATTCGGAATGTCTACAGTAGAAAAGGTTATTTAAAAATATAAAAACCTAAATATAATTTACAAATTGTTCACAGGGCACGTTTATTGAAATCATATCCAAGCAGCAGGAAGTCCAGTCCTAGTCGCACGCCAATCAAAAAGAATGTGGAGACAAAGAGAAATATTCTGGAACCCAGGATGCGTCCGCCCGAGGAGCAAATTCTAACTGGTTCAAGACCTAATACTTTAACGGTAATGACATTAGACAATAGCGAGACGTCCGTGTAGCATTATGAGTACCGTCACATACAACATATGTGACGAGGAAATTGTAGATAGATATATATGACGCAAAAAAAATAATTTATATTAAATTATACGAAAATAGAACGTCCGGTTTAGTTAGGAATTTATTAATACACATTTTTACTTTTACTAATAAATGCACCTATGCTCGCTATTCTATTCAAGTTGCGTATCGAACGACATATATTTTATATACAACGAGCAAATACGTTTCTTTCTGTGATTTATTTTATATTTATATGAATTTACATTTATACAAATCAGCCTTATAAAATAGAATTTTCGCGCTCTTTGCACCAACATCGCTTGTAAAATATTTTAAAAAGTACTGATGTACATAAAAAGTAATGGTGTGTAGAGGTCGCCGAATTAGAAAATTAGTAATAGATTAGAATTTTTTTAAAGAGCGTCCGTTTCGTCGTGTAATATTTTCAGGTGATAATAGCGCTAAGTCAATAATCGCACATTATCTTCCAATTAACTCCATAAACAATTACTAAAATTTACATATGCTC